TATTTAATTGGAATAAATTCAGTAAAGTTGTAGAATACATAATGAATATATAAAAATCAGCTGTGCTTCTACATACTAATAATAAACCATAAGAAACAGAAACTAAAAAAATCTCATTAAAATGCCATGCCTGGCTGGTGTGGCTCAGTGGATTGAGCAGGACTGAGAGGTCCCAGTTCGATTCCTGGTCAGGGCACGTGCCCAGATTGAAGGCTAGATCCCCAGTGGGGGAATTGCAGGAGGCAGCCGATCAATGTTTCTCTCTCACATTGATGTTTCTCTCTCTCTTTCCCTTTCTCTCTCTCTAAAAAATCAATTAAAAATTTAAAAAATGAAATGAAATTTCATAAAAAATAATAGCATACCTAGGAATAATTTAACTAAAGAGGTGAAAGACCTGTACACTAAAACTATAAAATATTAATAAAAGAAATTTAAAAAGACACAAATAAATGGAAAAATAGTCTATGATCATGGATTGCAATAATTAATATTGTTGCCCTAGCCAGTCTGGCTCAGCATTTAGAGCATCGGCCTGGGGTCCAGAGACCCGGGTTCGGTTCCTGCTAAGGGCATGTACCTCGGTTGCAGTTTGTCCCCAGCCCTGGTTGGGTTGTGCGGGTAGCAGCCACTCGATGTGTCCCTTTCATGTCGATGTTTCTCTCTCTCTCTCTCTCTCTCTCTCTCTCTCTCTCTCCCTCCCTCCCACTCTATCTGAACAAAAAATGGAAAAAATATCCTCAGGTGAGGATTAAAAAAATAATAATAAAATAATAATAATATTGTTAAAATGACCATATTACCCAAAGCAATTTAGACATTCAATGAATTCCCTATTGAAAGTCCAACTCCATTTTTCACAGAAATAGAAAAAAAATGCTAAAATTTGTAAAGCCACAGAAAAGACCCCAAATAGCCAAAGCATGTCCTAATTTCAAAAATATTACAAAGCTATAAAAATAAAAACTGTATGGCCCTGGCCAGTTTGGCTCAGCGGTTAGAGCATCGGCCTGCGGTCCAGAGAGACCCGGGTTCAGTTCCCGCTAAGGGCACGTACTTCGGTTGCAGTTTGTCCCCGGCCCTGGTTGGTCGTGCGGGTGGCAGCCACTCGATGTGTCCCTTCACGTCGATGTTTCTCTCTCTCTCTCCTTCCTCTCTCTCCCTCCCACTCTATCTGTACAAAAAATGGAAAAAAAAAATATCCTTGGCTGAGGATAAAAAAAAAAAATAAAAATAAAAAAATAAAAATAAAAAAAATAAAAACTGTATGATATTGGCATAAAAACAGACACACCAATGGAAGAGAATACATAGGCCAGAAATAAGCCCACTCATATATGGTCAATTAATTTATGACAAAGGAGTCAAGAATATACAATAAAGAAAAGACAATCTCTTAAATAAAAAGTGTTAGGAAAACTGGAGAGCCACATGCAAAAGAATAAAAATGAACATCATATACACAAATTAACTCAAAACAGATTATAGACTTGCATGTTAAGACCTGAAGCCATAAAATTTTTAGAAGAAAAGATAGGTTGTGCAGAACAAAAGTGACTCCATCTTAAAACTCATTTACCTTCTTGATATTTGGGTGAACTTGGACCTCTGACCTCTTCCCCTTCCCCAGGGTGAGCTCTGGAATATAGACACAGTTCTGGACTGATCAAAGGATTCCCATTAATCCTTTTTCTGAGCTTAGGCACCTTCAATGTTTCTCTTAACTTGCTCTGGAACCAGAGCCTCCCCACACCTGGTCCCTTTGATTATCCATGCATTTTATTGTTTTTAACTATAAAACACATAGTTTGGGGGGGGGGGGTGTTAAAAGGCCCAGGGATCCATTTGTCTTGCTGCCACCTGAGACTGCTTTCTATGTATAAGTTCCCTATTAAATTCTTTCAACCAAAAAGCCAAACTTATCTGCCTCATTCTTTGGCTTCCAGACTCTTTCCGATTTGGGGGTCACTTTGCATACATGGATCTTTCACAAAACATAAGTGGTAAGATCCTTGACATCCATCTTGGCAATGACTTTTTAGATTTAACACCAAAAGCAAAATTAAACAAGTGGGACAACATCAAGCGAAAACGCTTCTGCATGGCAAAAAAAAAAAAAAAGTCAACAATATGAAAAGGCAACCACAGAATAGGAGAAAATATTTGCAAATCATATTTCTGGTATCCAAAATATAAAAAGAACTCATACAACTAAAATAAAAAAATAATAATGAATCCTATTTTTAAAAATGGACAGAAGAATGGAATACACATTTTTGCAAAGAACACATACAGATGGCCAACAGGTAGAGGAAAAGGTGTTCAGTGTCACGAATCATCAAGCAAACACAAATCAAAACCACAATGAGATATCACCTCACACCTGTTAAAATGGCTATCATCAAAAAGACAAGAAATAACAAGTGTCAGCAAGGATGTGGAGAAAAGAGAACCCTTGTGCACTATTGATGGAATGTAAATTAGTCAGCAACTATAAAAATAAATATAGAGGTTGCTAAAAAAAAAATTTAAAAATAGAACTACCATATGATCATTAACTCCAGTTCTGGTTATTTTTTCCAAAGGAAATGAAGACTCAAAAAGGTTATCCTCATCTCCATGTTCACCGCAGCACTATTTGTAAGAGCCAGGGCCAACACTGGGCTTTTTTTAAAATCACAAAATGTATAATGTTCAAACACTGTTATTTTTTTCTTATGTACTAGGCTAAAATTAGTGTTCCTGGTCAGCAGGCAATTTTTTTCACTAGTGATTTAGAAACCCAGTCCTTCCCATCTTGTTCCAAATATCCCGTAGGGCTTCACTGCCATCTGGCCCTGAGAAGGATAATGTTAGAAAAGGAATTCTCAATTCTTACAATCCTGGAAATGCACATCACTTCTGATGACATTCCATCATTAACATCGAGCCATGTGGCCTCACTCAGAGGGACAGAAGATCAGGAAACGTGTGCCTCAGCTGCGCAGCCACTTCAACAGCTTTACTCTGTAAAGTATGGAACCTGAATTGCGGTGAACAGTTGACCTTTTCTGCAACCTCTTCCCATGTTTTCAATCTTGGTGAATGGCACCATCCCATCAACATCCCGTTCATCTGCCCAAATCACAGTTCCAGATCTTCTTCAACTTTTTCCTTCTCCTTTATTTAAACTAATCACCAAATCCTATGAAATCTAGATCTTCTAAATCTTTTTGATAGCTCTTCCCTCATTTCCATACTTACTATCACTTGTCAACTTCAAGCCCTCACCATTTTTACCCTGCCTTGAGTCTTGCCACTTCTCAAATCTCTCCTCATTGTTGCCAGACACAACTTTTTAAAACTCTGATGTCATCATACTTCCCTGCTAAAATTTTTTCACAGGCTTTCTTTCTGTTTAGTGATAGGAAATTAAACAATTACATGTTATACAAGTTCTTTTATGACCTGGCCCTTTATATTGTCCAAATTTATTTCTTACCACCCCTTATAATTTGCAGTACAGTAAATAGTACTGTTTATATATAGTAAATAGTACTGTATACATAGTACAATAACAATTAACTAAAAAAACCAAATTCTTCAGGTTCTTTAAAAAACTATATACCCTCTCACATCTTGGTTTCTATCTATGTTGCTCCTTCTCCATAGGATGAAGGCATTTTGTACATTTGGTAAACTTATTAATACCCAGGTCAAGTTTTCTCCTCTATCACATTTCCTCCAACTACCCATGAAATTTAGAAGTGTCTTTTACTAGGCTCCCACTCCCTTTTGTACAAACCCCAAAAGGAGTACTTTATAAATGCATTAAATTTGTTTTCTGTTTCTGTCTAGCTACTAGATTATCACTTCTTAAAGATGGGTTCCCTATCCTTTCATCTCTGTATCTTGCAGAGTCTAGTGCATAACAGAATATAAGCTTCCTGAGAACAAAAAGTTTGTTTTTCACCATTGTATCTCCAGTGTCTAAAATATAGAAGATATTCAATAAATATCTATTAAATGAATTCATAATCTACTCAATGCATATTTATTGGAGATTTTAAAAAAAGAAAAGAACTAGTTAAAAATTTAGAGTCAGATAAGACAAGAGTGAGAATCCTGACTCAAGTGTGTGACCTTGAACACACTATTTAATGTCTCTGAACTTGAGTCTCATTTGCTGTGAACACTTTACAGGATCAGGCTCTTGTAGATTAAAGTACACAAAGCTCCCAGCACAATGCCTGGACTGTTGCAACAATCACACACCTATATTATAAGCAAGGCTTACAACTTATACAACCAATGTTTACAGATGTTTCAGTATTCCTAAATATATAACCCTTGTAGCACACTGAAACCTAAAACATTTTTATCTTGTAAAGAATTTTATAGAATTTATCAAAAGGATTTTAAGTGTACCTAAATTGGTCTGTCTCAAATAAAGCATATTATAGTTTTAATATGAAAAGGTGTAAATTTTATTTCCAGATCTAAGTTATAATTTCCTCAGAGTAAAAAATATAAGAAAAAGAGTTAATCACCCTGACCAGTTTAGCTCAGTGGTAAGAGCATCAGCCTGAGGACCAAAGAGTCTCCGGTTTGATTCTGAACCTCAGCTGTGGTTCGTCCCCAGCCCTGGTTGGGGTTGTGTGGGAGGAAACCAATCAATGTGACTATCTTGTGTCAATGTTTTTTTTTTTTTCTCTCTCTCTCTCTTCTCCTTCCCACTCTATCTGAAGATTAATGGAAAAATATCCTCAAGGGAGGGGAGGGAGGGAGGGAGGGAGGGAGGGAGGGAGGGAGGGGAGAAAAAGAGAGAGAGAGAAAGGGAGGGAAGGGAGAGAGGAAAGGGAGGGGGAAGGGAGGGAGGGAGGGAGGAAGGAACGAAGGAAGGGAGGGAGTTAACCTACCAAGAAAGTTTTTGATAAAAGCTAACCTTAAATCAAAGTAAGCTGCAAATACTAAAATATAACATAATAATATAACTAATTAATTAGAAAGATGTTCATTACCTTACCAAGTCCAAAGTCCCATGATTTCTTAGAATGCAATTCCTCCAAAGTGATAGTACTCCTAAGAGTCATAAATAAGACAGTATTAAAAGTTTGCTTTATTCCCTCTGAAAATTATTGTTCTAAATTATGGTTCCCAAAGTTGGCTGCAAATCATAATTACAAGGGAAGTATCCTTAAAAGTAAAGATTCAGCCCTGGCCAGCCCTGACCAGTTTGGCTCAGCAGTTAAGAGCGTTGGCCTGCGATCCAGAGAGACCCAGGTTCGGTTCCTGTTAAGGGTGTGTACCTCGGTTGCAGTTTGTCCCCAGTCCTGGGTGGCAGCCACTTGATGTGTCCCTTTCATGTCAATGTTTCTCTCTCTCTTCCTCTCTTTCCCTCCCACTCTGTTTGAACAAAAAATGTCCTCGGGTAAGGATAAAAAATAAAAAAAATAAAGAGTCATAAGCTCCATCCTAAGGAGTGTATTTATTATGTGGAGATCAAACTTGCTGTTTTGTATTTTAAAATCACCCCCTCAAGTGATGTGGGTCTGATACCAGGTTTAGGAAGCATGTCACAAACCATTTTCATAAAGCACATGTTAAAATTCAAAGCCTAACATACTGTTTTCCATTCACAAATTTCTGAGTGTGCCTAAATTTGGAGATTTGACAAAGAATCTAATTTGTTTCTTTTATTTAAAAAGTTGTGAATCTACATTGTAATTAATTACTTGTGTTAATCCCATCCATAAGAAAATACTTCGTGAATAAAAATCTATTCTGGTTCATGATTTTCAATGAGCAACACTGGACTAAATTACAAGTATTACCAAGAAAGTTAGAACTAGTCTGAAACTACAAGTTTTCTTTAATTACCTATAACTGCAGTGTCACAGACTACTGACATGCTTCCTTATGCCATTAACATTCGAATTCTACTACTTCTTGTTCTAATTCTGTAATAACCTAGCAACCTTCCCATGGAGAGCTGCCAAAAGTTAGAAAATATGCTTATCATACCAGTAAGAATTCCTACACATGTAATCCTTCTATTTCTTACTGTAAATTAATAAATTGATATTCTGGAGGATATGTAAATTTCCTGAACACATAAGTCAGTCTTCTCAAATCCAATTAACACACAAATTCAGATTAAAAGATACTTTTTGTTGGCATATATGAGCACCATACTCTCAAGCAGGACAATATAACCAAGATTCTGACATCTGGTAAGCCTTCGTTGAGAGCAGCCTGCCCAGACTCAGACAGCAATGTGCCTACTCACTTAGCATCCATTCAACCCTTCAACATGCATTATGCTAGATTTTTATTTGCATTCCCCAGATTTACCTAAAAACTCACATATTGTCCACTGGATATTCCTGGATTTCTATCTGTGGTTTCTTCTCTTGGTAGTTCCTTTCAAATTTTCCTTTAAAAATACAAGTATGCATTGAACTAAAACTTGAGCATAAACCATTTTTGTTCTTTAATTTGAAGCTTATTAGTATGACCCATTGCCTGGTCCACAATGTCATATATTAGAATATCATTCTATTTTAAATTTCATAATTCTCCAAACACACACACACACACACACACACACACACACACACACACACTGAAAACAGAAAAGCCCAATAGACTATTACACTTTCCACATATAACACCAACCTTTCTTTTCAGAGCTGGCTGGGGAACAATATTTCCCAAAAGATGTACTAGGATTATTTCCTTCATTATTATTGTACTCTTTCTGATACTTCTTTGTCTGACACTTTTCTGGATAATTAGTTTTATTAAAGTTAAAACTACTAAAATTCAACTCTGGATCTGTAAAAGTACTTCTAATGCATCTGTCAGAGAAATGGTTTTTATCAGAACTGGTGTCTGCAAAAATATCTCCCACACTGTCATAACCACACTTGTCAAATGGTTTTGTTATCCTCTGTTGATCTATACTTAATAAATTGATCACATTTTCATTAATAAAAGAGTCAAAATTCTCTGGTAGAAAACTGGAGTTTGGCTGGTTCACATCTTCAAAAAAATTTGAAACCTCTTTGCTATTTTTCCCCCAAATATGTTGCATTGATTGTTTTTCAGTAATGAAGTCTGAGTGTCTTCTCTCATCCATGCTTCCACAATCTTCACTCATAACTGCAGCCGGTCTCCCAGTGAGGAATTTCCTATTTCCTGGACTTTGGGGTAAATAAAAGCATATTTAGCAAGAAAAGTATAGAATATTTTCATTTAGAAAATCTTAAATTCTTAGAAAACATATTGAATAGCTACTAACATCTGCCTATACTATATTTTTAGGTTTCAAATTTAAATATATAATACTTTTTTGGGTGGAAATTGATCTAATGCACCCTTATAATGCTCTAGTGGGTCTAAAAATAACCTACACTTAATTTAGTATCTCAATATGAAAAATTAGTATTGTGGTTCAACTTACTGTTATATTAAAACAAAACACAACCAGCCTATAGTATGTCTCTTGTAAAAATGTCTAGCAAATAATAATAAATGACCACTATATATCATCGATGCTCCATTTAACCAGAAAAGATATTTTTAAGACTTCAAGACTGTGCAGAGAAAAATTTTCCCCAGTGTTAAAATATTGAATCAAATAGTTATGAGGACATTATAATATTTCTCAACCTAACAAGGACATAAAAACAACTCCGATATCCCCAGGGAAGAACAATATAAATACAAATGCATACATAATAAAACCAAGAGAGAAGGTGAATTAGATAAAAAGATTAAACTAGATAACATAAGCTCCCTTCTAATTCAGAAATCATAATTCTAGGTAATGTCCAGCTTGTATAAAAGAATCAAAGTTATCATAGAAAATAATCAGAAATCAAGATAATTCTGAATTTTGTTGCCATTAACTACCTACAAATCTATTTGGGGCAAGGTTGTTCCAGAGATTGGAATTACCAAAAATTTTTAGAAAAGAAACATAGACTGTTAAAATTGATTGATTTCTAATTTTATTTTTAAAGTTACTTATTAAATATTTAATTAACAAGTATACTTTCTGTTTTCCACATGTTGGAGACAGATAGGTAAAAGAATTCAGTTTGGTATTAAAGAGAGAGAGATGTTTTGCCCATGAATATTCACAGATATAATTCTACATGGTTTCTCAATATAGGTCTTCCTGGTGGTCTTGGCAGAATAATGTTATTCTGTTATACCAAAAGGTATCACCTATAGTATGCCATCTTATACACCATTAACATCAGAGACATTTCTATTACTCTAAGTAAGAAAATAAATGTAAAGGCACTTCATAAATTAGAAAACATACTACAAATATGAATCATCATTTTAAAAGTTATTTTAAGTATTCTGACTCAGGAGAATCACTTACTGAGAGAACTGGGCATAGAGAAATATACAATACAGTCATTTCTCACACGAAATAGGAAGAGGAAAGAAAAATTCGAAAATGGTAAGTGCTCTCCTGCAGTCAAGTGCTACTACAGTAAACTTTTTAAAAAATTATTTTGCTTGCCCTGGCCAGTTTGGCTCAGCGGTTAGAGCGTCGGCCTGCGGTCCGGAGAGACCCGGGTTCGGTTCCCGCTAAGGGCACGTACTTCGGTTGCAGTTTGTCCCCGGCCCTGGTTGGTCGTGCGGGTGGCAGCCACTCGATGTGTCCCTTCACGTCGATGTTTCTCTCTCTCTCTCCCTTCCTCTCTCTCCCTCCCACTCTATCTGTACAAAAAATGGAAAAATATCCTCGGGTGAGGATTAAAAAAAAAAAGAAGATAGAGCGAAGACTAAGCATATTAAATAGATACATGAAAGACATAAAAAAGAGTTCAATCCACCTTCTAGAAATGAAAAGTTCACTGAATAGGTTTACAGTTGATAAGACACCAAAGAAGATATAATTAATGAATATCAAGATACAGCAAAATAATCTATACAAAATAAAATGAGAGAAAAAAATTGAAAATAAACAGAGCATCAGTAAATTGTGTCACCACTTCAAGTGAACTAGTTTACATGTGATTTGAGTCCCAAAGAAAAAGGGAGAGGAATCAGAAAAAAATATATTAAAAAAAAATTAATGGCTGAGTTTTTTCCAACTTTGATAAAAACAGTAAGTCCACAGATCCAAAGAAACTCAACACAGTCCAAATACACACACAAAAATAGAATGAAAATGAACACCCTAATCATAGGATAAAAATCCATGGTAGAAAATCCATGGTAGAGAATTCATGATAGAAAAATCTCTTTAAAAAGAGAGAAATAGCCCTGGCCAGTTTGGCTCAGTGGTTAGAGTGTCGGCCTGCGGTCCAGAGAGACCTGGGTTCAGTTCCCGCTAAGGGCACGTACCTCGGTTGCAGTTTGTCCCCGGCCCTGGTTGGTCGTGCGGGTGGCAGCCACTCGATGTGTCTCTTCACGTCGATGTTTCTCACTCTCTCTCCCTCCCACTCTTATCTGTACAAAAAATGGAAAAATATCCTCGGGTGAGGAATAAAAAAAAAAAAAAGAGAGAAATATTATATATACAGATATTAAGGTAACAATGACAGCAAACTTCTAACCAGAAACAATGCAAGTCAAAAACATCTTTCAAAAGGAAGACCAAAATTAGATTTACAAATATACAAAAGATGAAAGAATGAATTACCAAACGACCCACACTACAAGAAATGTTTAAAGGAAATCTTAATAATAGCTTTTGTCACCAGATGGAAACGCAGATCTACATAAAATGATGACCATCAAAACTGAAAAACTTGTGCGTAAGTACAAAAAAACCCATATTTTCTAATGTATTATTCGGTTTTCGTGTCAAGACCTCTTCCCACAATCACATCAAAATTACAACTAAATTAGAAAACAACCATCACTGATAATCCCTCAAGACTAGTTGAACAGAATTCCTATTACTAAAGATATAAAGAAAAAGCCATGTTGAAATAGGTAGGAGGGGCAGGGATGAAGAACAGTCAGGACCAACACCCACAGGGAGGCGTTAAGAACTGGAATGGATATCTTGGCTGCAGAAATACCACCTGAGGATCAAGGCGTCCCAGCCTCACACCTGGACCCCCAACCCAGGGCACCAGTGTCAGGAAGAGGAGTCCCCATTACATCTTGCTGTGAAAACAAGTGGGGATTGCATGTGAGAAAAACAAAAGGCTGCAGGAGACTAAGACACGGTGCTCTTAATGGGCCAGCACACAAATTCACTCACTCAAAACTCACACTAAGCTCCAACACAGAACAGCAGTTCAAAAAGCACCAGAGACATAAAAGGAGACACTAAATTGACTAGCTTCAGAGCGAAGGCTGGAGAAGCAGAGGTCAGAGCGACTCTGTGCGTGATGGAAGCACTGGCAGGCACCTTTGTTGCCTTGGTGAGCTCTCTGCTCACCCAGCCAGCCAGGCTGATGGAAGCCAACTCTGAGCTCTCCATTAAACTGACTACACCACTCTCTCTGCCCTGGTGATCCCCTGGGACCCCACTCAACTCACTCTCCAGGCCCAAGCCTCTAAAGCAGATCCTCCACACAAACAGCCTGCCTCGGATTGCACTGCAGATTGTCCCAAAATCTCTCCAAGGTACACAAACCCCAAATAAACAAGGCTGGCCTCAGACTGCTCTGTAGCTCTTCCCTAGTGGCCCCAACACAGCATAAGCAATGATACATCTCAACTTGCATTGTTAACTCCCATTGTGTGCCCGCAAACCTAACCAGCAGCTAGTCCTGGACTGAAACAGTATCATCTAAGCCAGGTACTAGTGGCAGCCAGCCTTGGTTCACAGTATAACCTCTCCCAATTGCCTCCAAGCCCAGCACAAGCAGCCACCAAATGCAGATCGTTTTGCAACTCCTACCAGGTGGTCCAAGCCTGGCACAAGTGGCAGCTGACCTTAGCCTGCACCTGAGCATTTCTCAGGGGACTCCAGACCCAACACACCCAGTGGTAGACTTCAGACTACAAAAGAGCACCACCCAACCAGCTTCACAAATGACACACTCAAAGGACAAACGTAGCTGGCACCACAGCCCTGCTAAAGCAACTCCCACTCCATGGAGTCAGCCACACACAATAGCTAATCCACTGTAGTCACAGCCAGTCCTCAGAGCCAGTCAGCTTGAGGATAAATCTATCCACAAACTGCGAACAGCATTGGACGCCCAGCTATAACAGGAGGGCACATAACCCACACAGGGAACAACCCTGGAGCACCAAGTTCAGGTGACCAGGGAGACTGCACTACTGGGCCCCACAAAACACTTTCTACATAAGACCTCTCTGTCAAGACCAGGAGACACAATAGATCTACCTAATATATACTAACAAACACAGGCACAGGGAATGTTTGTTATATACTACTAATAAACATATGAGGAGAAAATGAAACAGGTCCCAAATAAAGAAACAGGACTAAACTCAAGTATGAACTAAATGAAAGGGAAGCAAGTAATCTACCAGATACAGAGTTTTAAAACATGGTTATAAGGATGATGCTCAATGAACTTAGGGGAAGAATAGATGAACTCAATAAGAGTTTACACAAAGAGAGAGAAACTCTATAATAAAAAACCAGTCCGAAATGAAGAATACAATAGCTATAATGAAGAATATATTAGATGGAATCACCAGCAGATGATATGGAGCAGAGGATCGAATCAGCAATTTGGAAGATAAGGTAGTGGAAAACACCAATTTGAACAGCAAAAACACAGAAAGAATTTTTTAAAAATCATGAGGACAGTTTAAGGTACCTCAGGGACAATATTAACCACAACAACATTCACATCATAGAGATACAGGAAGGAAAAGAGAGAGAGAAAGAGAGAGAAAAGGACTTAAAAACAATTTGACAAAATAATGACTGAAAACTTCCCTAACACAGAGAAGGAAATAGATATACAAGCCTAAGACATGTAGAGTCCCCCAGCTAGATGAACCCAAAGAGGTCCACACAAAGCCATATATCATTCAAATGCAAAGGTTACAAAGAGAAAATCCTAAAAGTAGCAAGAGAAAATAAGTTAATTATGTACAAGGGATCTCCCATAAGACTATCAGCTGATTTTTTTTTTTTTAATTGAAACTTTGCAGGCCAGAAAAAAAAAGGCACAAAATATTCAAAGTGTTGAAAGGCAAAAGCCTACAACCAAAACTACTGTACCCAGCATGACTATCATTTGGAACGGATGAAGCGATAAAGGGTTTTACAGACAAGAAAAGGCTAAAGGATTTTACCACCACTGAACAAGTATTACAGGAACTGTCAAAGGGACTTCTTCAAGTAGAAAAGATTAAACATATGCATAAGAAAATAAAGAAAAAATATCTCACTGACAAAGGCAAATGCTTAGTAAAAGGAGTGAATCAACCAACTATAAAGCTAGTACAAAGGTTAAAAGACAAAAGCAGGAAGACAAAAAGTGTGTGATTACAACAGTTAAGGGATACAAACAAATACACACATACAAAACGTAAAAAAGAACAACAAAAACATAAACATGAAGGGGGAGAGCAAAAATTGTACTGGATTTAGAATGTAATCGAATTTAAGAAACATTCAACTGAAAACAGGCTGCTATATACATGATAACCATAAAGCAAAAATATATGAGCTATATAAGATATAAAGAGAAAGGAATTCAAACAAAACATTACAGAAAGTTATCAACATACAAGATAAGAGATCAAGAGAATATGAAAGAACAGTGAACTACAAAAACAATCAGAAAACAATAAATGGCAATAACTTCATTCTAAATAGACTAAATGCTACAAACATAAAACATAGGGTGGCTGAATAGATTAAAAAATAAGACCTATGCTGCCAGAAGAGACTCACTCCAGATTGAAAGACACACAGAGACTGAAATTAAAGAAACAGAAAAAAATTTTCGATGCAAATGGAATAAAATAAAAATAGCTGGAGTAGCAATACTTGTACCAGATAAAATACACGTTAAAACAAAGGCTATGGTCCGGCTGGTGTGGCTCAGTGGTTGAGCGTCGACCCATGCACCGAGAGGTCACTGGTTCGATTCCTGGTCAGGATATATGTCCAGGTTGTGGGCCGGGTCCCCAGCAGGGGGCATGTAGGAGGCAGCCAATCAATGTTCTCTCTCACTGATGTTTCTATCTCTCTCTCTCTCCTTTCCTCTCTCTCTAAAATCAATAAAGAAAAAGTATTTTTTTTAAAAAGAATCAACCCGCCCTGGCTGATTTGGCTCAGCAGTTAGAGTGTCGGCCTACAGTCCGGAGAGACCCGGGTTCGGTTCCCGCTAAGGGCACGTACCTCGGTTGCAGTTAGTCCCTAGTCCTGGTTGGGTCGTGCAGGTAGCAACCACTCAATGTATCCCTTTCACATCGATGTTTCTCTCTCTCTCCTTTCCACTTTATCTGAACAAAATATGGAAAAATGTCCTCGGGTGAGGATAAAAAAAAAATCAACCCAATAAAAGGATATAACTATTTTAAATATCTACACATCCAATTTAGAAGCACATAAATATATAAAACAAATATTTATAGACATACAGAAGAGATCAACAGTAATCCAATAATAGTAGGGGACTTCACTGACAACAACCCACTGACATCAATGAATAGACAGAAAATCAACAAGGAAACCATGATCTTAAATGAAACTTTGGACTAGATCAGCAATTTTCAACCAGTGTGCTGCAACAATTTTTAAAACATGCAATACCTGATGATTAGGTCAGGGGTACTGACCTCTTTTCCCTTAGTTAGCCAATACAACAACAGCCATCCAGAGTGAATGAATCAAAATTATACCTATTTTTTTGTCAAATAAGCAAAAAATATATATTTTTGGTGTGCTGTAGAATTTTAGTAATTAGTTTACGTGTGCAATGGGATGAAAAGAATCTGAAATAGCTGGACTAGATGGACTTAGTTGATATTTTTAGGACATTTCACCCAAAAACAGCAGAAATATATTTTTCTCAAGTGCACATGGAACATTTTCTAGGACAGACCATGTTGACTACAAGAAAAAAAGAGTAAGTTAAATACAAGGTAAACAGATCAAAGGAAATAAAGATGAAAGAATTCAGTGCAATAGAAGAATAAGAAATTAGCTAACAACAATCAACAGGTGCAACACCGCCATAAAAATGTCAGTTGAGGAGCTAATCCAACAAAGAAACATCCTTGTATTACGGAGAGGCTGTTCAGGTCATGTTGTGGAAAGTGAGCTATGAATTTGAAAAAGAGCACAGAGATTGAAATCAAAGTCAGACCTATCTCAGGGAGGGCCCTGACTGTTAACATAAATTTCAGATTTAACGCTCGCTCACTCGCGCGTGCGCGCTCTCTCTCTCTCCCCCCCCCTTCCTCTCTCTGAAAGATGAAAAAAAGAAAAAACTCAATGACCACATACATACACACAAAAAAAGAAAAAGAAATGTGTGAAACAGAGAGATGATTCACTAAAAAGGTAAATAAAGCTGGTAAGTCTCTAAAATCAGAATGACCAGGAAAAAAAGACAACTTACTATATTAGAAATGAGAAAAAAAATATCACTACAGATGTTAAAGATTTTAAATGCATAAAAAGAACATTTTAGAAATAACTTTAAATCGATAAATTCTACAACACAAAAAATAGGATACATTCAGAAAATTAATTAATAAAAAAAACAGGATACATTTATTGTATGACACAAACTACCAAAGCTCACTCAAGAAAAAATAAATATTATTATTGGCCTGTATCTAGTAAAATATGGTAGTTAAAGGAAAAAACAAACAAAACCTTCCCACAAAGAACTCCATACAGAAAGCCAACCAGTAGTTGCCTTGAGATAAGTATAAGGGATGTGAAGTGGCCAGAAAAAGGGATTACAAAGATGCCCAAAGTAACTACTAAGGATGGTGAATACTACATTCATTACATTTGACATGTGAAAACTTAAAACACACATTTTAAATAAGTTCAATTTGTAGTATGTTGAATGTACATTAATAAAGCTATAAAACAAATGGATCCAATGACAAAGAGGAAATAAAAAGAACTGTTTTGTGACTGTTACAATTCTCCAGGCAAAAGGCAGTGGTAGCTCAAACTGTGATGGAACCGTAGAGATATAAACATGAGTAGATCATTTTAAAGTTTGTTAGAACAGAATTGGCAATACTATGTTGGTGAAATGGACACTGAGTGTTGGAGAGAGAAAGGAATCAAGGACAACTTTTGGTTTAAGCCACTGAGTGAATAGTGGTGCTACTTACTAAAATGAGGAAGACTAGAATAGGACTAGAGTCAATGTTTTTCACCACAATTATGAAGAGTGACTCAAACTGATTTTATAAGTTTAATGGATTTAAAACAATAAACCAGTGTTTATATACAGACAAAAGGAAATAAAAGTAGAACACTGGTTAACTGGCATAAATGAAAAAGAAATTGATATGTTTATGATACAGAAAAAGAAACTAGTAATTCATGGAGATTATAAAACAGGTGCAAAATACTTCGGTCCAAAATATTTTTAAATAAATAAATAAAAGGTAAGTGTGCTTATTAGAAAATAATTACTTGAACCAATTCTAATTAAATGCTATATTTTACTACTTCTAGTGGGTTTTCTCTATTAGTATTACTTAGGTCTGTTTGGATTTTTAACCAAAAATATTTGTGTCCATTAAAATCAAATTAATAACTCAAAGAATACTACAGGTTCTTTATTTTCTTCCTATCTTTGCTCACCTGTTTAATGTTTCAAATAATGTTCCAAATTGTGCTGTTTTACATGATGGACTGAGAGCATCTTGACTTTCATTTAATTTGGAAATCAAGGAATTAGAATAATTAACATTACGGAGCTGAAAGAAAAGAAAGGAAGAACCTGACAAAATGATAAATGTTCATATACATAATTAAAATTATTTACCATAATATGCCATTTAAGTGGAAATCTATATTGCAAAAAATATATTTTTAGTCTAAAATAAAGTAATTATGTCCTTATTGAAAATAAAACAAATACTGTTTTAACAATGAAAGCAACATCAGTATTGAATAATTCTTAAACTAACAGAGTAGGTACTATGGTGAGCTAACCATTTTCTCAGAGATTAAAGGGGGGCAAAAAGTAAAAAAAAAAAAAAAAAAATACCCAGGACACTAGGATCTTGAGAAAATAAAAGTTCAATTTCTCTAACAGAAAATAGTTTCTCCCAAGGAAACAGCTGTACATCTCTCAGTTCTCCCATTTACTGAGTAATTTTAGAATGCTACTTTATTCTTTCTGATTAATATTATTAATATTATCAATAATCTCAATGATCAACTGAATACAACAGGGGAAAGTATGTGAAGACTATTATGAAAAGCAGATGAGATAATACATTTGTTAATATGGAAGGTATCATATATATCTAAGATATTATACTGGCCCAACACTAATCTATGCAGCAAAAATAATTTATATCTGTAGTATATTTTATTTATAAGGCACAAAACAAAGAAATGAGAGTTCCAAAAACAATCAATGGCAGAAATAGGAAAAAGAGTTGAGAAAAAGAGAAATACTGAAGGTCTTTTTTTAAAAAGATCTAAAGTTAGGGACAGCTGGAAATAATGTCTCATAATATATCTCAGCCTCAAAGAAACAGTGACAGAAGTACAGAGACAATGTCATCCCTTGAAGTGAGAAACACACAATCAAAAGAGAATATTATATATTGTCTCAATACCACGTCTCTCGAGACAAGTGAGCCCCAGACCACTTTCTCTTCTAACTTGTTTTTCCAATTCATTTTCTTTCGTATTTAAAATTTTCATTTTCATTTCTCTCACTTTTACTGAAATCCTTTCAAGTAAGCTATTACTTCCTTAGTATTTCACTATCCATTGAACCTTAATCCCTCTTTGGTCTCTTCTGGCATATTAAGTATTACATTATTTACCCCTCTGGAAATACTCACTGACTGGCAATCTATAAGTAGATTATTTAAGTAGAGGTTATAGTTTCATTCTCCATTCTATCACTAATTAATAGAGCTAGCAAAGATTACTTATAAGCTGATCTAGAATGCAAGTTTTAATCTTAAAAAATACATTAAATGTTTTAATGGATAATTAAATGTTTTTCATTGCATCACTCAAAAATTATTGAGTCTTCAAATTAATAAAGCTAGTACCTATCACTGGATTATAATAATTCATTTTCTCTTCTCTGAAAAACAGAAAACATACTTTAATACACACTCTCATAAAATTGAATCACAGCATTACATAGAACCATAATATATCATAATATACCATAATATATAACTATAATTTGTTTAATTATAAATTTATAAAAATAAATATAAAACTATGGTCAAAAAAACCTACTGCATGTTAAAAATGGAAGGTACTTAAAACTAAATATTCCTGTTGACACGACATAGTGTCTACATAACCACTTTCCTTACTACTATTATACATTAGTATAGTAACCTTTAATAATTTTATTAACTCTATATTAAATTTAGTGAAAGCACATTTCTTGTTATTTTTATGGCAAATATATTTCAGTATTTTAAATGTTTGATAATTTTATAATTTTTCCTTTAGACAATACGATGACTGAACAACCTTGTTTGCACTACACATCTCTACATAAATATACTTTTATAGTTTTTAATTTAAATTTTTTATTAATAGGCACTTATTTATTGCCTTTTTTGCTTTATAACTATGTTCCTCTCTCTTTGTATTTCTTCTTAAAGCAGTCCTTTCTAACATTTCTTGCAATGCTGGTTTGGTAGTAAGGAACTCCTTTAGCCTTTTTTTTTTTTGTCTGGGAAGCTCTTTATTTTGCCTGATTTTAAATGAGCACCTTGCTGGATAGTCTTGGTTTCAGGTCCTTGCATTTCTTTCATTATTTTTAATATTTCATGTCATCCCTTCTTGCCTACAGTGTTTCTGTTGAAAAATCAGCCGACAGACTTATGGGAACTCCTTTGTAGGTAACTGTTTCTTTCTAGCTGCCTTTAAAACTCTTTTTCTTTAACTTTTGCCATTTTAATTATGATGTATCATGGTATGGGTGTCTTTGGGTTCACATTGATTGGGATTCTTTGTGCTTACTCAACTTATGTGACTTTTTTCTTCACCAGATTAGGGAAGTTTTCTGTCATTATTTCCTCAAACAGGTTTTTTATCCCTTGCTCACCTCTTCTTTCTGGTACCCCTATGATGCAGATATTGTTAAATTTCATATTGGCCCAAAGTTCCCTTAAATTATCCTTGTTTTTTCAATTCTTTTTTCTCTTTGTTGCTCTGATTGGGTTTTTTTTTTTTTCTACCTTGTCTTCCAAATCACTGATTTGATCCTTACTTCATCCAGACTGTTTTTAATTCTTTCCAGTGTATTTTTGATATCAGATATGGTATTATTCATTTCCTAATGATTCTTATTCATGGTTTCTATGGCCTTTTTCATGCTGATCTAAGTTCTTTGTGGTTCCCATTAAGTTTCTTAGAGTTCTCACTAAGTTCCTTGAGCATTTTTATAACCATTACTCTGAACTCTACATCTGCTAAATTGCTTGCCTCTAGTTCATTTATCTTTTTCTGGAGATTCCCCTTTTTCTTTCATCTGGAGGCCATTTGTCTCCCCATTTTAACTGTCTCTTTGTGTTTGTTTTGATGTATTAGATAGAGCTGCCATGACTCCCAATTTTTATGGGATGCTCTTATGTAGTAAGTGTCCTGTGGGACCCAGTAGTGTAGTCTTTGATCTACTAACCTGGATGGTCTTGGAATGTCCCTTCTGTGGGTTATTTGAGCTCTCCTGTTGTAACTGGGTCTTGACTGGTGGTGTCCAATTCATGTGTGGGATCTCCCCCTATGCTGGCTGGCTAAGCTCAATCCCAACCAGTAGTGCAATCTGTTGTACCGGTGCAGTCTCAAAATGGTTTCTGCTTTTATTTTTTATTTTTTTTATCCTCACCTGAGGACATTTTTGCATTTTTCTTCAGATAGAGAGGGAGAGAGAAAGAGAGAGAGAGAAACATTGACATGAGAGAGATACATCTAGTGGCTGCCACCCACAAAACTCCAATTGGGGCCACTGAGTTACATGCCCTTAGCAAGAACGGAACCTAAGACTCTCTGATCTGTGGGCCGACACTCTAACCACTGAGCCAGACAGACCAGGGCTGCCCTTCCTTGTTTAAAAGTCTCCTCTTCATCTAGTCTTTGGTTGGTTATTCAGGGTGAATATTCCCCAATTTGGTTTTATTTCCAGATTGGTTCTAGAAGAAGGTGCGAGAATGATTCACCTACTCTGCCTTCATCTTAAAAACCGGGGTATTTTTTTCTATGAGCCTTAGTTAGCCACTCTTACTCTATATTATGGAACACAGTAGTTTGATGTCGTCAAAAAAAATAAAAAATCTTGGCCGTACTTGCTGGTCTTCTTGCCCTTCAGAGATATATATATAGGGTAAGATTATTCTGAACCCAAAAATGGTCCTCCAAATTTTTCTCCAGGAGATAATTTCTTTTGTAGCTGATTCTTTTTGTTCCCCCTGATCTCTGTTGATGAATATATCCCTCCCCCCATGGAAATATCAAGACATGCTGCCAGTCTTCCACTATTAGCAAAAATTCCTATTTGTATAGTTTTAATTAACATGTATTTAACCAGTTCTCATTTGTCAAATGATAAAAAGAATCAATCCATCACAACTCATACTTTAACAGACTACTATGGCATACTGAAATTATGTATCTCTATTCAAAGGACCCTTTCCATATCATGCCTACCAAGCTACCATAACCATCACCAACTAGTCATTTACTGTGATTAAAATCATCAACTACTATAAAAGGCACTGAACTATTTTCAATTTCACTATCAACAATTTTATAACAGGATGATGACTTCAAAGATTTTTTTTTTTTTTTAATCCTCACCCGAGGACATTTTTTTCGATATTTTGTTCAGATAGAGTGGGAGGAAGAGAGAGAGAGAGAAACATCGACGTGAAAGCGACACATCGAGTGGTTGCCACCCACACGACCCAACCAGGGCCGGGGACAAACTGCAACCAAGGTACGTGCCCTTAGCAGGGACCGAACCCGGGTCTCTCCGGACCGCAGGTCGACGCTCTAACCGCTGAGCCAAACCGGCCAGGGCGATGACTTCAAAGATTTTTAAAGACCATTCCAGTTTTTGGATTTGTAATCTTGTACAGAGCAGAGAATTATGGTTTTTGTCCTAAGAGGAATTATTATACTTAATTTTATCCCCTAATTTGGCTATATCTACAGTAATTCACAATTAATATTTTTTAATTTATAAAAGAAGAAAGACTGCCATAAAAATATAATGATATAAAATACTAAGAACTAATGATTCAAAGATATCTGCTCATTCAGCTTTTTTTCATATGCAACTTTCTGAGGACCAGATGCTATTCTGGGGATGACATTTTGTTTTTTTAATATGTCTGTTATAAGATAATTCTGCTGAAACAGATGATGGAGTGAAACTGAAGTTTTGTATTCTTTTGAACTGAGGTTGGAAAATTCTATGTGAGTCCATGACTTGTAAAGACTATTGCAAAGAAGATACAATCATGTGAATTTCCAAAACATATAAACTAGAGAAAAGTAAAAATAGAGGTAAATAGGTCATGTATGGGTTGCAGAAAAGTCCCAAGGAAAGGCAAGTCATCAGTAACTGACAGGACTTGATTAAAACAAGAGAAGTTCTTATCTAAGCCTGTACTTAAGAGTTCCTACCAAGCGACCATGACCATTACCAACTAGTCATTTCTATCTGCCTTTCTCACCTTTGGTCCCCCCCACCCTAAAATTCCATTCCTGCTTGTCATCTCCTAATGATAGGATATCTGTGTTTCTAACCCACAAATTCAGGTGAAAAGATTTCCAAGATATTTTAGTATTATTGCTATTTTCTTTTTGATATAGTTTAACTTTGGCAATTCAAAAAAATAAAAGAATAATATGGTACTGGACCTTAAATTTCAGGCTTTAATCACAATTTATGCATTTTCTATGATTGAAATATTTTCTGGAAAAATCATTTGCAATACTTCCAAAGAAAAATAATCTCATGATCAATATAAATTTTGCACATCAAAATTTGATATAAAATAAAGCAATCTGGTCACTATACCTGATGAAATAAATTGCCAATTATCACATGATCCCAAAGTAGGAATCCCCCAATGAATTATCCTTTGCAATCCATCAGTAACAAACAGAATCAAATGTTATGTACATATATGTCTTATCTACATTACCAGAACTCCAAAGGGTTTCTCATAAACAATCATCTAATATTTTTATGGTATTGGTTCCTTACATTAAAAACTTCTAAAATAATACTTTTAAAGACTATAAACATTTTTTTAAAAATTTTTTCTTTATTGATTTTAGAGAGAGAGGGAGAGAGAGACAGAAACATCAATAAGAGAGAACATCGACTGGCTGCCTCCTGCATTCTCCCCCCTGGGGATTGGACCCACAATGTGGGCATGTGCCCTGAATGGGGATTGAACCAGCGACCTCTTGGTGTATGGGTCAATGCTCAACCACTAAGCCACACCAGCCATGCTGTAAACATTTTTTTAAAAGGGTAACTAACTTTTCCTGATGTTCAAAAAATTATGTTATTTGGTAGCATGCCACAATTATTAAAATAACTTATAAAAAATAATTTTTTTAATTCTCACCTGAACTGGGCCCAGTTCTTCCTTGCTGCCTAGTCTCTGATAGTGTATACTAATGAAAATAAATAGAGATAGCAATAAAATTGGCTGTCTTTTTATATATGTTTTAAAATTCATACTATTCTATACAAATACACAAAAACATACAAAACTCTAACTAAATCCTTCCAGGAACATACCATTAATGAATTTCATAAAAATTACACTATTATTAGAGAGATATTTTTATAATATGGAAAGTCAAACTATGCATACAAAACACCTAGTATGAACATTAGGTCATTGACAAAGGTCTTAATAGTTTAATAATACAGCAAAACACATCTGGAGGTAGAAGAATAGGCCCTTTATCCACTTTCCAATGAATAAAACAGTGTCAACAATGATCCATTTAAATACCTAATAATATATAACCTGGCTAAAACATACTTGCTTTCTAAATCATCAATGCAGAGGTTAGATGGTACTGAGGGAGGCGACATTGGAAGTTCTAAGTCATGCTTTCTTAGAGGCATTTTTATGCCTCTATTCATGTCCACATGGATTGGTTTTCTCACAGTTTCTGTAACAAAAAAATTATAATTTAAAAATAAGAATGGGTGATAAAATCTTTTAAAAGCATTGTTTGATAAATCATGTTCATTAAATAAATACACATTTAGAAATTTACTAAAACCATCTATATTCTATATATATTAAAAATATATATTATATATATCTATATTAAAAATTTCATTACACTACTATCATAGATAATTCAAATCTTTTTCTTCAGCTTACATATTCCTCATAAAAGGAGTTCTAATTCAGTTCTACTGTTTTTTTTTCTTCCAAGCCTTCCCTGACCCCCAGACTATATGAGATGCTATGTTATATACTGCCATAGTACTACATATGTTCTCTAGTATAGCACTTACCATAGTTTACTGTACTTGATTAACTCTATCTCCTCACCAGATTTTTAAACTGTATAGAAGCAGACACCTGGTCTCTCCTTATGAAAGATACCACTATTTTGTTTGTTCAGTACTTTTAACTACTCTCCTGTTCTGGGAAATGCTTTTCACAAATGCATAGATAATATAGTTCTAGAAGAGACTTTCTATCTTCCTATAACATCCAAAATATTAATATATAAAGAACTCATATAACTCACCAACAACAACAAAAATAAGCAATCTAGTTTTTAAAATGGGCAGAGGAACTGAAAAGACATTTTTCCAAAAAAGACATACAAATGGCCAACAGTAACATGAAAAGAAGCTCACTGTCACTAATCCTTGGAGGAAATGTAAATCAAAACCACAAGATATAACCTCATATCTGTTAGAATGACTATCATCAAAAAGACAAGAGATAACAAGTGTTGGCAAGGATATGAAGAAAAAGGAACTCTTGTGTATTTTTGGTGGGAATGTAAACTGGTACACAGCCACTATGAAGGGCAATATGGAGGTTTCTCAAAAAATTAAAAGTAGAACCACCATATGATTCAGCAATCCCACTTGTGGGTATCTGTCCAAAGGAAATGACAACAGGATGTCAAAATGATATCTGCATTCCCAGATTTAGTGCAACATTATTCACCATAGCCAATATATGGAAACAACCTCAGTGTCCATTGACAATGGAATATTCTTCAACCATGAAAAAGAAGGAAATCCTTCCATTTGTGACAACATGAATAAACCTTAAAGGCATTGTGCTAAATGAAGTAAGCCAGACAAAGGCAAATATATATGGTATCACTTATCTGTGAAATATAAAATATTAAAAAAAAAGTAAAAGTCAAATACAAAGAACAAAAAAGTGATTGCCAGGGACTGGGGACTGAGGAGTAGTAGAAACAGGGAGAGTTAGTAAGAGTACAAACTTTCACCTATAAGCTGAATAAGGTCTGAGAATCTAATATATATGTGGCAACTATAGTTGATAACACTGTATTATACAGATGAGGGGGGGAAAAGTAAATACATCAAACCGATTTACAAAATATTTTATTCCTAAAGTCTATGGGTAATGTATTTACTAAAGTATAACTAAATGTACTTGTATAAACTGTCATCTATGAAAGCAGAAACAAAAATGGCAGAAAACAGAAAAGATAAGACACTAACAATACTATGATCAATTTCTATCCCTCCTTGATGAACTGTCTTATTTCTTAAGCTCTCATTTTAGAACTTATCTTAAAAATTAAGTATCAGACACAAGTTCCCTTGAGAAAGAAAAAATACTCTGATTAAACTTTTTTTTACTTGAAAAATCAAAGTGCAGGTCAAAATGAACTTTATTCTGAAGAAATAGACTACTATAGTTAACATCTCACGAATACATAAGAAATTATTCAAGTTGTGAGATAGAAAACTAATCACTGAGGCAAAAATATTTTCAGCTACTCCTTTTAAACACATTCTCTGAGTAGCATAAGATAGTAAAGATTCTCCCTGCCCTTTAGCTAAACTTTGATAACCATCTGCTTAGACAGAATAATAACTGAAACAACTGAAAAAAATCATACCTTATAAAATTAATTTTACATAACATATAACCTAAAAATAAATGGATGAAACAACAAAAGATTTTAAGAAAAATTAGCAAGGCTTCTAATTTAAGAGGACAATCAAGTTTTAAAATTAATTTATTTTCCACATCCATTGAGCTTTATAATTAAAAACTTATTAGACAACTAAATGCTATGATCACATCAGAGTCAAAACAAAATGCTATTCAGAATTACTCACCAAGTGTTCTCTTCTGGCAAGAGATCTGATTTACCACATATAGGTTAAGAAGGTCTAAACTGACAGTGGAATTTTTGACAGGGGATAAAACTCCCAGTAATTTCATTTTTGATTTGAACCTTTTCTTTTCAAAATATTCCTAAAACAATTTTAAAAATGTAAAAGTTATTGTAGCAACCATAAGGTTTCAGGCAGAATAATAAAAATAACAAAAGGCAATAATGCTAAATTAAATAATTTAATTGATTTTTTATATTTTTGTGACACCTCTGTTATATGTTTACATATAAATAAAATTCAATCATGATGACTTGTAATTTGTCTCAAGACTCAAAATTTCATAACCAGTTATAATATTTATTTTGTTCAATGTAATGCCTTTAAAACAGAACTTGATAAAGCCGTTCCCAGGTATCAAATATTAAAAGTTACATAAATGTAGATAGTTTTTTGTAAAAATCTGATAGAACAAATCTAACAAGCTAAAACTTAGTTTTCTACAAGGTATGCTATCCTGCAGATATAAAAAGTCTTGAAGATACTAAGGCACAACTAAGGACCATTAAAAGTCAACTGAAATGAAAAGAGGGAAGAAAAAGAAGCCACGTGAGAACTAATCTCCTGACAAAGCCAATTTAATCCCCTTGGTTATTCCTTCATGTCTTCCATATTTTTTTAAACCAGACTTGTACATAGTTATCCTTTTTCATTCAGTATTTATTTATTTTTCTTGGTTGTTTGAACTATAATTACTTTCTTATCTTCATTCTTTTTCTTTCAGATTACACCCTTAATTTACCTAGTTCAAAAGCATTTATTTATTTGTTTAAAATCCATTTACTGAGCAACTGTTATATATACTAAAAACAATTTGTGAAAAGATCTTTTCTTCCATTAAATAACTCACAATACAATGCCATAAACATGGATTATAAATGTGAGGTATCAAAAGGAAAGTCCAAGATGACAAAAATTTAATGCAAAAGAAGTATCACTTTTCCAAGAAGTTAAGACTTTTTCACCTTAACATTTCAGAATATTGTTAATTATAACAAACTTTTAATATTGTGAAATACTTGTAAGACCAGCCCTGGCCAGTTTGGCTCAGCGGTTGCAGCCTCAGCCTGAGGACCAGAGAGTCCCAGGTTTCGTTCCCGCTTGCAGCATGTACCAAAAAAAAATACTTGTAACACCTGTAAGAGACTTGCCAGCTATCAAGCAAAAAAGTAAATGTCATGTTGTTATGCAAAATTAATCCTAGATAAAAAGAATATGTTTACATTTCTTTTGAAAGATTTGTAACCCCAACTTGGATTTAAATATCTTCAAAAAGATCACACTATATAGTTCAACAATGAAATGACAGGACCTTTAGGATGTAAATATGTTCCCTCCTTGAAAAAATTACTATGGCTCTTATAATTGATGGTGTCTTGAAATTAAGATGTTAATTCCAGCCCAGTTGATATGACTTGGTTGAGCATCATCCTATGCACCAGAAGATCATCAGCTCTATTCCTGGCCATGGCACATGCCCAAGTTGCGGGCTCAACCCCCAGCAGGGGGAGTGCAGAAGGCAGCCAATAGATGTTGTTATCTCATGGATGTTTCCATCTCTCCCTCTCCCTTCCTCTCTCTGAAATCAATAAAAACAGAAAATAATAATAAATAAATAAAATAGATGTGTAAAGTTTCTTCTCTAATTGCTGTATTTCATAATAAAATATTTTTTAAAAGATGTTAATTCCAAGTATGATAGGAGATGGTATAGGATCTTTAGGAAGGATATGTAAACTATGGGTAGGTAGGGTGGGAGTAGGCAGAAGGAAAGCTGGAGAGGAAAGGTTTTCCGGAAAATTATTTCCAAGATAGAGGATGTGTAACTTATCGAGAGGATGGGAATACACATAAGATTCCAGGAATAAGGAAAAACAGTAAAAGGCTATCTACTCCAGGGGATACTTCTGAAGAGGTTGGACCTTTTTCCTAGCCATCATGATAGCCTCTAATGTTTGCATTCCTAGAAAGAACCTTTTACCTGACAAGGTTAGGCTTAATTTTTCTATCAGGTTTCACTTAGTAGAAAATATTTAGAAGATAATTAGAAAACTTACAGAAAATAAACAATCAAATTTAAAGTGAAAATAGCCATCTAACAGGAGCAGCTATGGAAACAAATAAAATCTGGAGAATGTGTCAAAGGAAGCAAGGGAAGAGCTTGTTTTAAGATGAAGGGAATGGGTAGTTCCCCAAGTGGAGACTGTCTATTTCATGAAATGTTTAATGAAGTTTGTTTGTATTATAAAAAAGGATAAAAGGAATGACAAACAGTACAGGAGATGACGGCATATTAAACTAAATTGGACTGAAAAAATATCCTTGAAATGGAACAACATGAAATTCAATTTCGACATTAGCAAGAGCTGTAGAGTGGAGTGGGCTGAAAAGCGAATAGGAAATACCAGGGAAGGGGCATAGCAAGGAAGGGAAAGGACCCAGAGGGGGCTTTACTTGTTTCAAGTAGGGAACCAAAATGCAAATAGAAAGCCTCTGGTTGACAGGCAATGGTAGAAGACACAGAGAGGAAAGAGGTAACTGAGGTTCCTGACAAGGCAGAAGTGGAATCCAGATCACAGTTAGAGAGACCTTCCTTTGACAAAAGGAAACTACTTCTATCATTATATGTAACAGGGAAAGAGAAGATGGGTGAAGACATGAGATAGTTTACAGAATTGATGGTAGAAATTGAGATAATTCTCATGTTATAGCTTCTATTTCCTCTGAAATATGAGACAAGGTCATCTAACGAGTATGAAGGGATAAAGAATAGGGTCGGGCAACAAGTTTAGAGAGGCAAAGGAAGATGTGAAATTTTCAAAGAATAGGAAAGTAACATGACTAGCGAACAACACTTGGGGAAAGGGCCATCTGTCTTTCCCTTTCTTATAGTCAAAAGAATGATCCAAATAGCATAAAATTGTTTTTTTAAAATAGTCTAGGGACAGATTACATTCACAGTATATTTATTATTGAGTGCCCATGTTATTGCTAGACACAGTTCTCGGCACAGGATATAAAGAATGAACAACACTAGTGAGATCCCTGTTCTCATTAATGGATGGGAAGAACACAGAAGGAAAAAAAATAAAGGTAAACCAGATTATGAAAAGAATGATGAATAAAAGAGGGTACAAGAGAGTGGGTACTGGAGGGCAGAAAGCTATTTAGATGTAGTGATTAGGAAAAGCCTATCTAAGAGGAGATACTTGAGCTGAGACACAATTATTGATAAGGCAGACATGCAAATATCTTAAGGGAGAATATTATAGAAGAAAAGAAGAGTAACAGAAAGAAGGGTGTGTGGCTGAAATACAATGAACAATAAGGCAACCAGTAAAAAATGAGGTCAGAGAAGTAGGAAGGGTGCAGATTCTTCAGTTCCTTGTAGGCTATGGTTACATCAGATTTTACTCTCTAAAAGCAATGAAAAGCAATAGAAGCTTTTAAACCAGGGGTTGATAAATTGTGATTTGTGCTTTTAAGAAATCATAGTAACCACTGTGTGAAGACCAAGCTACAAAGGCATAAAATCTAAAGGACAGCATTAATTAAAAATAACAGCCACAGCCCTGGCCAGTCTGGTTCAGTGATTAGAGCGTCAGCCCACAGATCAAAGAGTCTCGGGTTTGAGTGTGGTCAAGGGCATGTACCTCGGTTGCAGTTCATCCCTGGTCAGGGTCATGCAGGAAGCAACCAGTCAATGTGTCTCTTTCACATCAATGTTTCTCTCTCTCTTCTCTCCCTCCCACTCTATCTGAAGATAAATGGAAAAATATCCTTGGGAGAGGATTAAAAATAATAATAATAATAGCCATAGAGTACACATATGACTGACAAAGAGTTCCCAAATATGTAAAGTCACAATAAAAAAAAAAAAAGATAAACAACCAAATAAAAAAATACTTGGAAAAGCACATCACAAAAGAGGAAACCTGAATGAAGAAAGTCAACTTCATTAGTAATCAAGGAAATACTATATTTAGGAGGTATCATTTCACTGAGTTACCAACTATCCTGCTTTCAGTCATCACTTTCTTGGTTTTCTCTAAATTTTCCTACCTTTGAACATATTTTTGTCTGTTTTGGAACTTTCAGTAAATGGAATCTTACTGCCTGTATTCTATGAGTTGCTTTGTTTATTCAGCTTTATGTTTTTAAGATTCATCTAGTTTAATTACATGTCATTAATATAGCTTCACTGTTGTACCATTAATTGGGTATGCCACAATTTGACCACTCTACTGCTAATGGACATTTGGATGGTCACATTCCCTGCCCCCTCCCTGCCATTTCCTTCCTCTCTTTCTCCTTTTCTCCTTCTCTCCCTTTCTCTCTCATTTGCTATATAACAACAACCATCCAAAGAAGTTTGTACATGTCTCAAAGTGAACATCACTATGTAATACAATCAATGTAATTTTTAAAAAAACTTTTAAAAAGTAGGATACAGGTTATAAGGCAATTATATTATTCTAAGCAACAAATGACAATGATTTGAATCAGTTTGCTGACAAGTAGTGAGAAGTGATTAGACTTGGGTATATTTTGGAACTAGAATGACAAGAATCAACAATGATCCTGGAATCTCTGCCTGAGCAAAACAGGGGGCAAATCAAGCTATCTACAGAGATGGAGCCGACTAAAGGAAGATGGTCTTCCAATCCCATTTAGATGAATTTATAAGCTGGGAAAAAATGCTTCAAAAGACCACTTTTCTCATAAAGCTGACACAAATAAAAATACATTTTCTTTACCTTTTGCTTTCTCTTTTCCTGCTTGTTCAGAACCCTGGTCCTAAAAAGAGAAGGATAAAAAAATATAACAAAGAAGTGTTCACAAACAATTGTCACTTCAGCTGAATTGACGACCTGGAATTACAACTAAAAGTACATTGATTAAAAATTTTTTTTAAAGTGTGGTGATCATTATTTTCTGAAAAGAAACCATGAAAATGTTCTTAAAATATTTATAGTATATAATGTTCCACATAATTTTCTTAGACAATTCAAGAATAAAACAGATTCTAGACCTATGATAAATAATTAAGCATAAAATGTCTGAATTATAAAATCAAGGCAAAAGCAAAAAGAAATCAATGATTAGAAAAGATGTATCACTGAAATATTTTCATCTGGTAACAATATTCTTGGTCAACACTGCTATTTCCTTCGCCTTTCTATGTATTTAATATTATACTAAAATCAATAGGGAATAAAGAGAATATCAAAATCTATATGTAGGATCTAAAGAAATGTTAAATGTAACATTAGAGCAACTTCAGTTACATTAATATATCCGTTATTTGTATTTGAAATCCTGTATCTTCATTTAAAAATAGCTAGTCATTATGGACATCTTTTATATCTAAGATCTTTGTGCCAATCACTGCATTGAATCACAATGACAGTGCAGTATTTAAGGGTTATAAAATATTTGCTCTATTAATAATAGTAGAATGCTATAAAACATTCATGACAATAAGCAAACCTGCACAAAATGTATTTTGAGCATACATGAAACTCAGGTCTCAAATTCAATATCTGTGCAAAAATTTTAAGTAAAATGACAAAATGTGTCTTAGCTATATGTAATAAAATAAAAATAATAATTGCTAATGAGTACCATGTCTTGCACCATTTTGGATTCATCAAAAACTTTATATGTATAAGCTCACTTAATTATCACAGCAATTCTATAAGATGGGTTCTTTTTTTTTAATTCTCACCCAAGGATACTTTTCCATCCATCTTCAGACAGAGTGGGAGGAAGGGAGGGAGGGAGGGAGGCAGAGAAATGATGTGAAAGAGACACAGCAACTGGTTGCCTCCCACATGACCCCAACCAGGGCCAGGGACCGAACCACAACCGAGGTATGTGCCCTTGACTGGAATCGAACCTGCAACTCTTTGGCCCACAGCCCGACACTCTAACCACTGAGCCAAATCGGCCAGGGCAGTAGGTTCTATTTTTATCCCCATTTTATTGATGAAGAAACTAAGACACAGAGAGGTTAAATAACTTGTCCACAGTCACAACACTAAGTGGTAGAGTCCAGATTCAAACCCAAGAATTCTAAGTCTGAAGTTTTTAACCAGTGTAGTATACTGCTTTCTAAATATGTGAACTTTGAATATATAAAGCTGTTCCTTTTTTCAAATAATTTTCATAAGCTACATGAATATGACAGTTACTGAATACCTCCAGACCCTGCCCTAACTGAACTTTTTCTCTTATTTCCTAATGGCTGTGTCGTAATTGACCATTTTGAGCTCACTGCTCAAAGAATCTGGTATATTTAGCTCCATGTAGCATCATAAGTGTACTATTGGCATTCAAACTTTAGAAAAGAAAAAGAAAATAAATTTATTTCATTGACTCATCAAATGCTAAGTCTAGAGTGGACCTTAGCATTTAGTTTATTCTCCATCATTTTAAAACTTATAAAACTTAGGTATAGAAAGCAAAGTGATTTTTCAAAGTTCAGAAATATAAGAAGTATAATAGAGCCAGCAATAATATTAATCCAGATTATAAGGAGATAACAAATATCAATTATATAAGCAGTCCCCACATTATAAAGCTCAGTAGAATGAGAAACATGTCAAAGTCTAAATAGAGTCTTCATTGATACATAAATCAAGTGACTTAATTCCAGGATGATTTTCCATTGTCCAGGACACTTCTATGGCTCTCACCAAATTCTATATACTACATAACCCCCATTCCTATAAGCAAAAAATAAAATAAAAAATTAACTGGGAATTCAAGACCAATTGCCAGATGAACCTACTAGTCACTAGACCACAGTAAAGGGGAAAAGGATCCGAAATTGTAAGTTAAAGGGAATGTCTTGTTTTTTAATTTTATTATTATTTTAATCCTCACCCAAGGATATTTTTCCATTAATTTTTAGATAGAATGGAAGGGGGGGGGGGGAGAGAGAGAGAGAACCATCGATGTGAGAGACACCTCAATTGGTTGCCTCCTGCAGGACCCTGACAGGTGCCAGGGATCAAACCTGCAACCCAGGTACATGCCCTTGACCGGGAAATCAAACCCATAACCCTTTGGTCTACAGGCTAATGCTCTAACCACTGAACCAAACCAGCCAGGGCAAAGGTAATTTCTTAGAACATTCTAACTTATTATTATGGCAACCAATGCTACTAAGTCATACTATATGTCTAAATGTTTTATTGAATATAGTTACTTTCAATTACCTGCACTAAAAATGGAGACTTTGTTAGTTAGGATTATATTTTATTTAGTCATTTGTTTACAAATGAAACTACAGGATTTCAAAATTAACATCCTTGCCCATGAGCTTCTTATATACACCAGAAAAAGTTTTAACCTATGTTTTACTTTGTTCTGCTGGGCTTTATCCAAATGAACCTTTATGAGCCAGCTGCCATCCAGTTTCACGCAAATTCTCTTGCCCCCAGTTTCACTTGGGAAAACCAACCCCTCCAGGATCACATTGTACAGGGCTGTCAGGGTGCAGCTCCTGGAATGTTTCTGCTTAGTTTTTGTATGGCTTTTTCAAGTTGGCTTAGGCAGAATTCTCCTCTGAGCAATAAAGACCTGCTTTCCACTGAAATTTTTCTCCAATTTGCTTATTAGCGAGACTTCAATTTTCTGAAAAGGTTTCAGTTGAAGAACAGGAACAAAAATTATAATAGCTTTCCAACTGCCACCAACTTCAATTTCCTTGGCTGCTGTTATATGCAGCTCCTGAAGCTGGTCTACAGGCTAATGCTCTAACCACTGAACCAAACCAGCCAGGGCAAAGGTAATTTCTTAGAACATTCTAACTTATTATTATGGCAACCATAATAGGTTCGAGTTCATCTCCAGCTCAAAGGAGTCTAGGAGATGCCAGACTCGTGGAGGAATCAGGCAAATCACCCATTTCCCAACCTTACCCTCAAAAGGTTCTCTGTATACTACAAAAGCTGCTGCCAGAGATCCAGACTTATAATTCTAGCAGGTACTAGGGGATAGCTGCAATCCTCTCCAGAGACCGGGAAACTGCCCTCTCCTTCTAACCCACTCCAAATCACCAGTATATCCTCAGAAGGAGTTTATACCCACATTTGTTCCCCATCTTAACAGGTCACTGCATGCCCTGGCTCTGATAGCCAAAGGGGCTTCCTTCCAATCATGAAGACAACTGACTGTAGTCAAGAAAGAAACAATCCTTAACTGGCTATTGACCTAAGACAGCACAAAGAAATCAGGCAAAATTGCCCATCTCCCAGTATTTCCCCAAGAGACGTTTATCTGCTTACCTTAAAAGCTGTTGCGTAATGGCGAGGTTTCTAATATAGGAGGCATCTGGGGGCTGGCTATGATCTTCCTCAGAGACCAGGAAGCCTGAAGACACTTCTCAGGGCTTGTCCCTCCAGTCCACTCTAATAATTATACCAAGTTGCTAGTATGTCCCTAGGAGGAGCCTGTACACTTATCTTGTGCCACAGCTTTCACAACAGCCACCAGAAGGACAGGTCACCAGATCACCTGACTCCAACAACCAAGGGGGCTTACATTCATGGGTCCCACAGGAATGTATCAAAGAAAGAAATAGTTCTTAACGGGTACAGGAGCACCATCCAGACACTATACACTGGGTCCAGCCAAGAAGGATCAGGAAAAAAAAAAAAAAAAAAAGCTCATCTCCAGTTTTTTTCCTGGAAGGGTTTCAACTACATGCATAACCCAGCTGCTGCCTGAAGGTCAGGCTCCTGACCACTTAGCATCTAGGTGTTGACTGTGAACCTCCCCATTAGGACACTGATGGGTCTGACCACACCCTCAACTACTGAGAGACACTAAGAACAAAGAAGGAGGCTCAGACACTCAAAAAATCTGAAAGACAACTAGAAGCTAGGTCCAGGCTGATTGAGGAGGTTTATCTCCTATGTGAGACCATTCTGTCAAAACTGGGAGAGATGGCTGTTTTATCTAATGTTCAGAAACCAAAACTGAGGGTCAAGGTAAATAAAAAAACAAAGGAATATGTTCCAAACAAAAGCACAAGATAAATCTCCAGAAATAGGTCTTAATGAAATGGAAAAAGGTGATTCCAATGATGAGAGTTCAAAATAATGGTCATAAAGATGCTCACTGAGGTCAACATAGATATGCATAAACAAAGTACAAATTCAACAAAGATATAGAGAAATGTAAAAAAGTACCAAACAGAAATCATAGAGCTGAATAACACAATAATTGAACTGAAAAATTCAATAAAGAAGTTTAACAGCAGACTAGATCAATAAACTCAAAAGCAGGGCAGTGATATTCATCCAATCAAAGAGCAAAAGGGCAAAAGAATGAGAAATAAAAAAATAGCTTAAGGAACTTAAGGGAAACATCAAATAGACCAATAGACATATCATAAGGGTCCCCAAAAAAGGAGTGATAAAGGGGCAGTAAGCTATTCTAAGTAATGGCTGAAAACTTCCCTAATCTGAGAAAAGTAACAGACATCCAGGTTCAAGAAGCCCATAAAGAACCAAACAAGAGCAATCCAAAGATACAAACACCAAAACACATCATAAATACATTTTCAAAGTTAAGGACAAGAAGAGAATCTTAAAAGCTGCGAGAGAAAAGCAACTTACTACATACAAGAGAACCCCATAACCATAAGCAGCTTTTTCAGCAGGCCAGAGGGTGTGGCATAACATTCAAAGTGCTGAAAGAAAAACGTGCCAACCGAAAGTACTCTATCTGGCAAACTTGTCCTTCAGAATTGAGAGAGATAAACAGTTTTCTAGTCAAAAAAAGCTGAAGAAGTTCATCACCACGAGATCAGCCTTACCATAAGTGTTAAAAGGGAGTTCTTTTAAAGTGAAATTAAAGGATACTAATTAGTAACAGAAAAATGTATGAAAGTATAAAACTCACTTATAAAGGTAAACATATAGTTAAATCCAAAATACTCTAATGTAATGGTGATGGGTAAATCCCTTATAATTCTATTATGAAGGTTAAAAGACAAGATTACTAAAAATAACTATAACCACAATAATTTGATAATGGCTACCCAATGAAAATGATGCAAACTGTGACATCAAAATATAAAAGGTGGGAGTGAGAGAGCTTTGATATGGGTTTGAAGTTAGTTATTATCAGCTTCAAAAAAACTGTTACAAATATGTATGTAAGACTCATGGTAACTACAAAGTAAAAGCCTATGGTAGATAAACAGAAAGAGAAAGGAATCAGCCCTGGCCGGTTTTGCTCAGTGGTTAGAGCGTCGACCTGTGGTCCAGAGAGACCCGGGTTTGGTTCCCGCTAAGGGCACGTGCCTTGGTTGCAGTTTGTCCCTGGCCCTGGTTGGGTCGCATGGGTGGCAACCACTCGATGTGTCCCTTTCAAGTCAATGTTTCTCTCTCTCTCTCTCCCTCCCACTCTATCTGAACAAAATATTAAAAAGTGTCCTTGGGTGAAGATAAAAAAAAAAAAAAAAAAAAAGGAAAGAGAAAGGAATCAAAGCATAACAGTACAGAAAAATCATCAAATCACAAAGGAAGAGAGCAGGAGAAGAAGAAAGAAATAGAGGAATTACAAATCAACCAGAAAACAATTGACAAAATGGTGCCCTGCTAGTGTGGCTCAGTTGGTTGAGCATCGTCCCATGCACCAAGAGGTTACCAGTTTGATTCCTGGTCAGGCCACATACCTGGGTTGTGGGCTCGATCCCCAGGAAGGGGCATGCAGGAGGCAGCCAATTGATGTTTCTCTCTCACATCAATGTTTCTATTTCTCTCTTCCTCTCTCTCTAAAAAATCCATTTTAAAAAAAGAAAGAACAAGTAAAATCATCTTTAATTGCAGATAACATAACATTATAAATAGAAAACCCTAAAGATACCATCAAAAAAGTTAGAATAAATAAATTCAGTAAAGTTGCAGGATACAAAATCAATATACAATAATTAGCTGTGTTTTTTACACTAACAAGAGTCTATCAGAAAGAGAAATTAAGAAATAATCCCATTTACAATTGCAGCAAAAAGAAGGGAATACTTAAGAATAAATTTAACAAAGCAGGTTAAACATCTGTATACTGAAAACCAACAATAATTAATACTGTTAAAATGTCCAACAAGCCAAACAGAAAGACAAGTATCATATGATCTCACTTATTTGTGGAATATAATGAGCATAACAGTCTGAGGAATGGAGTAGTTCCAGAGATATGGAAGTGGGGTACAGACTGACAATCCCCAGAAGAGGGGGTGGTGGGGCAGAGATAAACACAGAACTTTTATGCATGTATGCATGAACAATGGACATGGACAACAAAGCTGGGGACAGGGCGGGGAGGAAGGGGGTGGGGGAAATCAGTAGGGGAAAAAGGAGAAACATTTGTAACAAAAATAAATTAATTAATTTTAAAAATAAAAATAAAATGTCCATACTACTCAAAGCAATCTGCAGATTCAGTCCAATCTCTATTAGAATTCCAATAGCATTTTTCACAGAAAAAGAACAAATCACCCAAAAATGTCTATGGAACCACAGAAAAAAGATCCTGAATAGCCAAGGCAATCTTGAGAAAGAAGAACAAAGCTGGAGGCATTACATTTCCTCATTTCAACCAATATTACAAAGCTATAGTAATCAAACAGAATGGTATTGGCATAAAAACAGACACACAGACCAACAAATCATAATAGAGAGCCCAGAAATAAGGTCATACATATAAGGTCAAATAACTTATGACAAAGGAACAAGAATATACAATGGGGAAAAGAGAGTCTCTTCAATAAATGGTGTTGGGAAAAACTAGACAGCCACATGCAAAAGAATAAAACTGGAACCCTACCTTACACACACACAAAAGTCAACTCAAAATGGTATAAGGACTTGAATGTAAGAACCTGAAATCATAAAATTCCTTTTAGAAAACACAGGGAGTAAGCGCCTTGTCACTGGTTTTAGCAATGATTTATTTGGATTTGACTCCAAAACAAAGTTAACAAAAGGAAAAATAAACAAGTGGGACTACGTAAAACTAAAAAGCTTCTGCGTAACAAAGAAAGCAATCAACAAAATGAAATGGAGAAAATATTTGCAAACCATTTATCTTATAAGAGGTTAATATCCACAATATATAAGGAATCTATACTACTTATTGCTACAAAGTAGGGGGGAAAAAAACACTCTACAAGTTTTCAGTTCTGGGAAGTAGGAATATAGATATGTTACATTATTCTTTGTTAAGAAAGAATAAAGTAAAATAGAGAGAAATACAGAGGTTAAGGGAGGGAAGAAAAAGAAAGAAGGGAAGAGGAGGGAGAGAGGGAAAAGACAGGACAGAAAGAATTAAAACCATGCTGACTGCAGGGCATTTTGCCTCTTGCTATACTTTGCAGTAAGGAAAGATAAGAAACTGCTAAAAAAAAAAAAAAATACTTTCTTTACAAAAAAATAAAAGACATAAAGGCAGTAAGGTTGTCAAAGAAATATCAAAAACAAGACTAATGTACATTTTACATGGAGTACACAGGAGATGCTGAAACCACATTAGGGATTAAATACTATAGGTGTCATATGCTTTACATGTTAGCCTTGAATTGTTCTTTTATGTTTCTTTTATTTTGTTTTTTAATTTGCTGCTAAATTTTTTTAGTGGCACGGTGCCAACCAAAATAAACTGTTTCCAGATTGTTAACCTCTTACGATAATATCTTAAGTTGTGATTAAAAGTGAAAAATGTAAATAAAATTAATAGAGCAATAACTAGCAAATGAAAAACAGTATTTTCTGGCTTGTGTTAGATTGAAATTGATATTAACCTTAAAACATCATACTCTAACATTTTAGCTAGCAGACTTATTAAGATTCAGGACAGTAACTAGCCTAGAAAACGTACTTACATTGGTTTTCCACAAAAGTAAAGAAGGTCTGTCTACCTGATGTGTTAGGAATAGTAATGATATATGTTAGAATGATATGGCTTTTAAGAAAATTCTTCTAATACAAGAAGAAAGTTTTTAAAGATGTATGAATTACAAAAGGTGAGGTGTTGAGAAAAAACACTCAAATCAATAAGGCAGAAATCCATCGACTGATCAGAATACAGAACCTAATTAAAGTTAAGTTCCAGGAGACCAAATTCTCATAGTATTTGAGAATAGTAACCCCCCCCCCCCCATTACATTGTTTTACAGTTACAGGCTATAATGATAAACATGAACAGCCATCTCCTGAGTCCCACAGTGGAAAATTTTAGAGTGTGAATGAAACCCCAATACAAATCTATTTTCGGGCTATAATTAAATCTTTAGAACTTCATTTTCAACAATTATAACTCACTAAAAGTTTCAAAAGCTGAATATGCCCTGGCTGATTTTGCTCAGTGGTTAGAGCATCAGCCCATGGACCTGAGAGTCCTGGGTTCGGGACTAACAATGGCAGATGCTAAATGTCAGTAAACATTTAACGCACAGGGTATAGGTTCATCGACTTCCTTGAAAAACAAAACATTAGTAGTTAACTTATCACTATGCTTTAATTTTCCTTTTTTGAGCTCCTTGTTGCCAAAAAAATACACATTACTAAACAATAAAAAAAGAAAATAGTTGTTGACAAAACCACTGCAGCAACAACATTCCTACTACTCTATGTATGCTCTCTGATAGGACTGATTAGTCTCCATTTCTTGCAAATATGTCACTACACCAAATCTCAAATTTTCCATGTTTCCTGTTGACCTCACCCCCAGGCATGGTGGTTATACAAATCTCTCAGACATTAGCTTGCAATGGTACAACTAGTTGTTGGTACAAGTGGCCAGCAGGGACAGCAGGACGAAATACTTCTCCCACCCAACCCAGTGTTTTACTTGTCTCTAACTGCTCAGATCCCAGCAAAGTTCATTTGACCAGCAAGTAACAGCTCTCTCTAAAGGGAGCTATTAGTTACTTTCCATCTGGAAAGGGTCAGGCCTGGATTATCGTTGGATGTCTTCAGATTTAACCACGTTAAAATGAAAACTGTCTTCACTGCACACATGGCTCATGCATTAATTCAGACTATAGCAAAGGTTAAAATAAAAAAATGGATGTATGCCCTGGCTGGTATGGGTCAGCAGTTAGAGCGTCAGCCTGCGGTCCAGAGAGACCCAGGTTTGGTTCCCGCTAAGGGCATGTACCTTGCAGTTTGTCCCCGGCCCTGGTTGGCCGTGCGGGTGGCAGCCACTCCATGTGTCCCTTTCACATCGATGTTTCTCTCTCTCTCTCTCGCTCCCTCCCACTCTGTCTGAACAAAAAATGGAAAAATGTCCTCTGGTGAGGATAAAAAAAAATGGATGTTCACTGAATCTACCTGGGCTCATTAAAATAGAACTCTTAATGGAAGTTAATATTCAGTTAAAAAACAAAACTTCCAAGACAAACACTAACCTGAGCATGCCACTAGAACCACAGGCATAAACCATGAATATCCCAGGCAAACTGGGATGATGTTCACTGTCCATTTAAGTAGTCTCCTCATTTAACAGATGAAGAAAGAGATGCATAAACAGAAGCTAATTTATTGTATGGAAAATTTACTGTCAAGTTAATCATGCTTAAGCTTCAGGATCTACACTTATGTATGCCCCTTCCAACTCCTATATATGATTTTGTAATCGCAATTTTGCATTTTTTTTTTCCATAAAGCGGGTTCCTCACAACCTGGAAGTGCCCATGTACAGAAAGGTTTAATAATTAACCCACTTCAAATAGCTCAGGATACCTAAAAAGTGAGTTAGGACTGGTGTTGATTTAATTTGGAGAACATAGTTTTACCAGAAAATGGAAAAATAACATTAATTTTCCCCCCAGCAGAATCCTAACTTATGTTACTATTTTGAAGTCTTTCCCTGCATTATTCCAACCTACATACCTCTAACATCACAGTCATACAATACCACTTCCATTGTCTTATTTTCAAAATTGAATGATACCTCAATAAATAACATCAAATTTTAACTTCTCATGTGCTTTCAACCTCACCATCAAGTAGGCACATATATACATTTTTAAATATTTAAATATAGTCTTATCTCCAACTACTATGTTTATTTTCTTCTTTGTTTTTTCCCCATTTGAACTTTGTTTTATCCTTGTTTCTGATTTGCTAAACCCTCAGCTAAAAACTATACTATGTTCTATTACTACTCACAGTATATTTTTTTTTAATCCTCACCCAAGGATATTTCCATTTATCTTCAGATAGAGTAGAAGCGGGCAGGGAGAGAAAGAGAGAGAAACATTGATGTGAGAGACTGAACCCCAACCTAGGTACGTGCCCTTGAACCAGACTGGAACCAGATGCTCTAACCACTGTGCCAAACCAGACTGTGCAAAAATATCCATTTTTTAAATCACATGTTTTGGCTCCCAGTCTTAAACATTGTCAAACTTATTAGTATATCATTTCCCCACCCACTCACCCAATAAACTATAATTTCTCACAAAGAAACTAAATTTCAATTACTTTGTACACTCACCTGGCACAGTGATTGGTGCTTAGCACTCAATAAATACTTTGCACAGGCAAACATTCTAGGCCTACATTTACAAATGCAAACACCTCCCACAGAATTTTATCTGTGTCTTTCTTATGATACTGGTTGCATTCATCAATACAAGTTATAAAAATAAACTTCCCCTAAATTAAAAGAAAAATCTTCTTATACTGCATGTATAGCGCTGTATTGATAGACTCATAATAGGTCTCATTCTGAATAACATAATGTGGCACAAAGAGTAGTTACATCTTTTTTTTTTTTTTTTTAATCCTCACCTGAGGACATTTTTCCATTTTTTGCACAGATAGAGTGGGAGGGAGAGAGAGGAAGAGAGAGGGAGAGAGAAACATCGACGTGAAAGAGACACATCGAGTGGCTGCCACCCGCACGACCAACCAGGGCCGGGGACAAACTGCAACCGAGGTACATGCCCTTAGCGGTAACCGAACCCAGGTCTCTCCAGACCGCAGGCCGATGCTCTAACCGCTGAGCCAACCGGCCAGGGCAAGAGTAGTTACATCTTTATAATCTCCTATCTCTTCCCTCTTCCTACCACTTTCATGTCTCAGGTGGCTATTAGTATGGTGAAACAAGTCACTGACCAATAAATAAGGAAAATAAAAGAGAACCTTCCCCAAAGTAAAAAGAAAAAAAAAATTAGTGTTTCTGCCTGTGCTTTTTAAAATTTACACCTCAGTCTGCTTAGGAAAATGCATGGTATCAGTGATGACTTGTAAAAAGTACAAAACAAAAATTAAAAGAGTTCTAGGTCAATGATTCCCAGACAAATAAAAATAATTTTTTAAATTGGTAATATTGACAAATGATTGATATTTTAATTTTCTCAAGAAAGGACTAAAAAAGGAGAGGGGCATTAAAAAAATTTTTTTTGAGTAAGAACAGACTTTTAGAACAAAGAAGAGACCATTAAATTGAAAAAAACTGACATTATCACTAATTAGCAAGTTTCAGGGCCAGTAGATTAGAAATAACTATCATAGATAAAGAAATTCGTTTCAGCTGAGACCAAATCTCTTTACCCTAATTGGGACTTTGCTTGAACTGAAATGTTGTATCTTGCAAACGTGTCTACAAACCATAACACTTAAGTCAAACCAAGTAAGTAATTTAAAGAGGAAAATAAGGGGTTTATTTCCTAGCCCCTGGCCCTTTCCCTCACAAAACAAAAACAAACAAACAAAAAAAACCATTTACATATGACTGGTAGAGTCCCCAAACTGTGAAGCACGAAAAAAGTTTATTTTATGCCCAGAAATTTGTAAAGACTGCATTGTAAAGATTTTATCAAATGATATATCAGGTTCCTATAACATACAAGAATATCCTGCTTCAATTTAGCGTATACAATAAGATGCCATGACCAAAATATAAACTTGCTATATAGCCTGCTTCATTCATTCCCTTGACAAAAATATCTAAAGCCTTTTAATAAGTGTTTTCCTGTCTTAATGCAGATCCACCTATTGTCTGCCAAATTAATACTTTCAAGTTCTTTAATACCTCTCCTCCCAACCCATCTCTTCTCTAAGATTTGCTAAAAATTAGGTCTCTGATTTGATCAATTATTGATCTTACCTTCTTTTCAACTATTAATAACATGTTTCACTACTACTCTGTGGTGCTTGTTCTGGGCAATACTGCCATCCTTCAAGGCTTAAAATAATTTCCTGTTTCTCAGTCCTCTAAATACACACAGCCCTTTATTTGTACCACTTTCACAATTCTCATATTTCTATATGGCATAGCAAATGGTTAAGCCACGTTATGGTGCTGCAGTTTCCCCATCAGGAAAACAGGGATAACATCTGTACATAATACCTCATAGAGTTCTTGTGAAGAGTAAATGAGCTAATATACTAAAAGCAGTTAGACCAATGATTGTTATATATAAGTGCTATTTCACTATCTAGTATGATAGTTATTTACCTATTTCTAATCTCACCATTCTACCATAGATCCTTTTTGTGCACCAAAATTTTACCATTTTCTTTTCTGAACCCCCACCCCCATACAGATTAAAAATGCCCTAAACCAGTAGGCAAGTAAAAACATACTTGTTGAACTAATTAATGTTGACTGCTTTGAGGGAGCTTTGTGAATGTTCTCCAGTTTTCACTTGTCTGTATTAGGAACTATTATATTCTGAATTTGTCTATGTTAAAAATTATTAAGTTCCTAACAATTCTCAAAATTTTCAACCCAAAAACAATCCTAACAACAGAAAGGAATAAATAAGTACTTTGGGATGGTCTGGAATAAGGATTAAAAATTCTATTCTATATTAGCTCCAACCAGCTGCTAGTCATTACTAAGCAATGTCTGGATTCTGAGGCCATTAGGGACCCATGGTCAGCGTGTCATGGTCAACTAATCTTACCTACCTTTGTCTACCGTGATTGTAGAAAGTGGAGGTACTAATTTTTTCATTATCAATCTGGGGGTTTGATCCAAAGGGCCTATCCACTCCCCGAAAATTTATTTAAAATTGCACATTTTATCTTAAAATTTCACAAGAGTTTTGCATTTTATTCTGTAATGTATCCATGTTTGTTTAGGTTTTAAAAACATTTTTTCCTCTGATATCTGAGTAAAACTGATGATACAGGGAGGTGTGTCATGTTTCTTCTGTGGTTTCTTAATTACCCGGGTATCTAATACCTCCAGGTGCAGCACCACCTTATTTGGAGAAACAGTCTTAGACGACGTTTCCTGCAGTATATTGCTCCCTGAATTGCCAGAAGTTTGAGATATGACTATATAATAGTAGCACCTACATTTCAATAGTGTTTAAGCATTTGTAAAATGATTTTATATCTCATTTAATATTAACACTTTAAAGTCAAGTTCAAAAACATCAAATTATCATTTATCAACTAACTCTCGTGAAGACTGTAAGTAAATTTTCACTTTTCTCCAAAGTGAAAGCATAATGCTAACACATTCAACAGGATAAATGCTCTTGCTAAAATTACTAGGCATCATTATACTACTTGGTGAACACTAAAGCTGTCTGTCTTTCCTCTTATAAAATTCCTTAAGATGTAAATGTTATATTCTAATCATATCAGCACTGTCTTGTGTCTTCTTGTTAACAAAAATAGTAATTTGATCAAATGAAATTACTGGCCAGCATGATTTCCATCCGAGTGGACTTTAAGGTCAATATCAATAATTAGGTTATACAAAACTAAACTGTCAATCTATCACGCTTTATTAGATTAATCCTAAATACAAAATAAACTGTAAATTATCTTGCAAGTTATTAAAGTAAAAACTATTCCCTTTACCTCCTTTTAAAAAAATGAACTTGGATGTATGCCCCCAACAATGAATTTAAGGACAGCAAAGAAAGGCTTCCTCCGTACTTTCCAAATTTATGCAAAGACTATATAATGACTCAAAGGAACCTCTCCCGAGAGAGGGGCAGGCGTGGGAAGAAGGCAGAAGAGGGCTCAGGTGCTCAGAGACCTCATTAGAGAGGGAGGACGTGGGAGCTAGGATGGGAGCGCAGAGAACCTCGCCCACAGCGGGCCCCACACCTGAAGCCTGTGGAAAGACAGCGGGGAGAAGCCGGGTTGCTTCTGGTTTATGAAGAGCCGTGGGGCTAGGGTTTCCCGGTGTGGAGAATGATTAAAAGACCGACTCCTAGAAAGTTCTCTCCAGCAAGGCTATGTCCTCCCCCCAGGGCCTAGGAAAGGGGCGCCATGTTGGGAACAAATGTCCAGGGACTCGAGAACTACAGTCTCAAGACCAGCAGCATAACTCACCGGGACCCCCCGACCCAATTCATCTTCCCAAAACTTTTGAGTGAGGAGCCACTGAGGTCCCCACGGAGGGAGCGGAGACGTCTGGGTTCTGCACTGTGCCGTGGTTCCTTAGGTTTTAGCTGGTTCCGTGTGGTTCCCAGGGGCCTATGGCCCAGCCGCTCACAGCCGCCTCCG